GTGTTTTCTTGAAAGTAGCTAGTTTTCTTGGGTTGTATTTTCCCTTCCAGTGTCTTCTGTAATGCTGGATTTGTGTGTAAGTATTGTTGAAATTTGTTTTTGTCATTGAGTATCTTGTTTTCTCTGTCTATGAGGACTGAAAGTTTTGCGGGGTATAGTAGCCTGGGCTGACATCTGTGTTCTCTTAGGGTCTGCATGATATCTGTCCAGGCCCTTCTGGCTTGCTTAGTCTCTGTTGAAAAGTCAGGTGTGATTCCAATAGGTTTGCCATTATATGTTACTTGGCCTTTTTCCCTTGCAGCTTTTAGTATTTTTTCTTTGTTCTGTATACTTACTGTTTTGATTATTATGTGGCGGGAGGATTTTCTTTTCTGGTCAAATTTATTGGGTGTTCTGTAGGCCTCTTGTATTCTTATTGGCCTCTCCTTTAACTTGGGGAAATTTTCTTCAATGATTTTGTTGAAAATATTTTCTGGGCCTTGGAGAAGGGAATCTTCTTTTTCCTCTATTCCTATTATTCTTAGGTTTGTCTTTTCATATTGTCTTGGATTTCTTGGACAGTCTGTGTCAGGAATTTTTTGGATTTAACATTTTCTTTGACAGATACATCAATTTCTTCCATTGTATCTTCTACACCTGATTTCTTTCTTCCATCTCTTGTAGTCTGTTGGTTATGCTTACCTCTGTAGTTTCTGTTTTCTTCCCTAAATTATTCCTCTCCATTATTTCCTCCATTTGTGTTTTCTTTAATTTTTCCAGTTCTATCTTCAGGTCTTGAGTTGTTTTGTTTACTTCCTTCACCTGTCTGATTGTATTTTCCTGTTTTTCTTTTAGTTCCTTCAGCTCTGTTTCTTTTATTTCTTTCAGTAATTTAATTATTTCTTCTCTGAAGGCCACAAATTGTTTGGCTGCATCTTCCCATATTTCTTCATGGATGGCCATAATCTGCTTGTCTTTAACTTCCTCCATTTCTTTACGGATAGCCATGATCTGTTTGGTTTTATCTTCCTCTAATTCTTTACGTATTTTATTTGTTTCCTCTATTATCCTCTTTATCAGCATAGATGTAAGGTTATCTTCTTGATTTTCTATTATACTGGGTTGTCTAGGGCTGCTTGCCCCTGGATGGCTGGGTTCTGGAGATGCCATATTACTCTGTCTTTTGTTGGTTGGGCTTTTACGTTGACCTCTACCCATTGGGCTGTTTTAGGTGTTGGCTGTTAGTTTCTGTGCTTCCTGGAGTCCTGAGGTAGGGAGAATCCCCTTGGCCGGAACATGATTTTTCCTGAAGGAGGCCTCCTCTGCTTTTTGGTTATGGTCACTGTATGGCCAGTGTTTCTCAGGAATTGCCACTGCTCACCTCAGGTGTATAGACCTGAGTAGTAGCTGTGGTCTTTGTTAGTTAGGGGGGCTCTCCTTTCACCTGTAGAAGTTCTCAAGACAGTTGCCCCACTGCTGGGTTTCTCGTTCTGAATTTAGTGAGCTGTTGTTGTTGTTACACTGTTTTTCAGGCACAGCCCTCTTGAAGATCCTGCTGATTCCCTAGCTGTGGGGTTTTCTCCCAACAGGGAAACTCAGTCTGGTATCCTGGGGCACACAGTTCTGTTCGGGAAGGTGAGAGGAGCACCCAGCAAGTCTCTGGGCCAGGGGCTGAGTGCTTCGCTCAGGGCCTGGAGAATGTGCGCCTAGGTTGAGTTGGCGCCTGGGGGCGCTGCTCTGGTCTGGATGCTGTGCAGGCCTCTCTAGGCTGGCAACTGAGGGCTCCTTTCTGGTCTGGATGCGGGGCGCCTCACTCTGAGCCGGAAGCTGTGTGCCCCTGTCTGGGATGGCGGCTGAAGGCGCCGCTTTGTTCCAGAGGGTCTACGCTCTGATCTGGGCTGGCAGTGTGTGTCCCCTTGTGGGCCAGATTGGGGACTGCCGTTCTGTCTGGGATGTCAGTAGAACCCGAAGGCACAGACGCGTTTGGCTCTGCCTTTCTGGCCTTTGGGAGCCTGGGCGTCTGCCTAAACTGGGTAACTTTTCCCGAGACCGTTTCGGGGTGGGGGTGTCAGCTGAGTGCTCTGAGATCAGACCAGCCAATTCCCTCCCTGTGGGTTTGCACCCGACAGTGAAACTCAGTCTCTGGTGCCCTGGGGCCCACAGTTCTATCTGAGGCGACGAATCAGGCGTGCAGGCAGGGCTCTGGGCTGGCTCCTGGGGCGCCCGAGGAACCCAAGTCTTTTCCAGGGGATGTCTGGGTGACCTATGGTCAGTCCCAATCGTTTTCTGCACCGTGGGGTTATCTCTCGACTGGAGATTCCAGTCTCTGATGTTGTGGTGAGCACAGTTCAGTCTGGGACCATGACCAGAGCACACTGGCGTGTGGCTCTGGGCTGAGGCTGGCGACCAAGCGTCTGGCGGAACCAGGATCTCTTCTGCGGTTTAGCCGGGTGAGTTAAAAGCTGATTGAATCCCCCACCGTGGGGTATCCTCTCACGTGGGAAACACAATCACTTGTGTTTCATGGCTGCGAGTTCTGATTGCTGGTCACTGTGCCGATCCTGCTGTGCTGCTGGTCAGAATCGGTATTCTTGTTGTTTTTTTTTTTTTAGAAAAAAAGAGCTGTTGAATTATTTACTTATTTATTTAGTTCGATGCAGGGTTTCTCTGTGTAACCTTGGCTGTCCTAGACTCCCTTTGTAGATCAGGCTGGCTTTGAACTCACAGAGATCTGCCTGCCTCTGCCTCCCTGAGTGCAGGGAATACAGGTATGTGCCCCCACACCTGGCTTGAGCTGTTGAATTTTTTCTAAAGCATTATGCCATTTAAATATGTACAGAACACATTCTTCATGCTTCTTTTCTTAAGAAATGTGTTTGGGGGATGGAGAATGGCTCTGTGGTTAAGAGCACTTGCTGCTCTTGTGAAAGGCTCTAGCACCCATAGTTCAGTTTCTATAATCCACATGGTGGTTCATAACTGTCTCTAACTCCAGGGGACCTGACATCCACTCCTTGCCTCCTCAGGCACTGCATCACATACGGTACACAGAAATACAGAAATGCAGACAAAAACACCCACACACATTATATCATACATATATGTATATATGTGAAGTCTCCAAGCACTACTGCATGACTCTTGGGGAAAGATTGACCAGATTCAAACCACTGCTCTAGACCAGGCTGATTCAGGGGAGGGGCATGAACTAGTTGACCTGTTCTTGACTGGGCCAGTGAAGCATCAGGTCTTACTACTGATCATTTGTTTTCTAATGCATGAAGAAACTGGGCCATAGGCAATGGGGCAGTACCCACAAGTTCCAAGAAGTAGGAAATGGCCTGACTCATTTTAAGGTTATAGGCTGTGTGCCTTGGGACTCTCCAAGGCCGGAGAGAGAGCTTGCCCTGAGGAGGGCCTGGCTAAGGCAAGAGGGCTTTGAGTCACACATAGGAGACTTTGTCCTGGAGGCTGTGGGTTCTTGGTGTAGTATCACAACACGTGGGCGTGTTACAGTCACTTGAGGTGACGTGTCTCACGTCATTTGTGACTAAAAATAGGCCTTTAAAATATCTGAATGAATCATGTAAAATCTAACGGTGACTAAACTGAGGGGATCCTGAGAGGGCAGACTGCTGTCAGGTATGACCTGTGGACATGGATGTGAACATGGCCATGATCAGGGTAAAGTAGAACTTCCGTGTTACAGACAGCGGAGAACAGAAAGGATGCCTTTAGAAACTGTTGGAGGGAGGTTAGCTACACGAGGGATCCATGGACGTACCATGAGTCTCCGAGGTGCCTGGGTGGCTCCTTCATGGGTGCGTTATTTACAGGGGGTGGGGCACTGCATTTATGGCAGCCCTAGGAGCTGACTAAGGAGAACATCACTGAACAGAATACTTGCAATCATCGCCTCCATCACATCCGAGAGATGGCCTTGAACTCGTATACCTCCGCCTTTAAGATTTATTTTTATGAGTGTGTGTGTGAGTGTGTGCAGTACCTGAGGAGGCCATTGGGTCTCCTGGAACTGGAGTTACAGGAAGTTGTAAGCCACCAAACATCGGTGCTAGGGTCCGAAGGTGGGCTCTCTGGGAGAGAAGGAAGTATTCTTACCCAGTGAGCCATGTCTCCACTCCCTCACAGCCCTCCTGGCTCAGCCTCCCAAGTGTTGGGAATCCAGGTCTGTTCCATCACACCTGGCTCATTTGGCATTTTGATACACTTTGCACAGTGGGAGAGGGAGGGGTGTTGTTGACCTCTGCTGTCCCTGACTGGATTGCTAAGAGCATTGTGTGTGTAGTGAACTTCATGACCCCAGGGTGTATGTCGCTGGGAAGGGGCCGAGGGCTGAGGAAGAGCCAACAATTTTTAAACGAGTGGCATGATTTAATTAACAGCTGAGGGGGAGAAAGCTACAAGGTGGAGAGTGGAGGGTGGGGACAGCCCTAGGTACCTGTTATAGGACTAAGCTAAAGAAGCAGGTGCAAGATAGTGAAAGACTAAATTACAGAGACAGCTAGGAGGTGGCTTTGGATGTGGACGCTATTGTGGGGCTAAACACAGCCATGAGGGTTTTGACAAGTAGATGAAGGACGTGAAGTCTGAGGAAGGGCCAGGAAGGAGGGTTGGCAGATTCGGGACAGTAGGATGACAATCAGGGTTGGGTGTATCTAAGGTGGCATTTTACATAGGACATAAATGGGAGCTTATGGGATTTCAGTGTAGCGGCATCTGGGTAAGAATGGAGATCTGGAAGTCACCTATATCTATGGGCTATGAATAGGTTGTTCAGGAAATGTCTAGAAGAGGCGAGCAAGAATGTCAGCTCACTGGAGAGCTGGATTCAAGTAGAGACAGAAGAAGGTCTGAGGAACTGGAGGATAACTGGGGAAATGGGAAAAAGGATGTAGAAAGGTTGGAAGGGTTGCCCTGGTGATGTCAGCAGGCCTGTCACGGCTGCGGAGAGTTGGACGCTGTAGGCCTGAGTAACTAATCCTGACATCTATCTTCTCCAGGTGGCAGACATTCATCGGTGGACTTCTGCTTCATATGTCATGGAAGCTGGGCTGGGTGGAGATCAACAGCAGTCCCAGGTACAAGAACTTCTTTGTAACTGACTCATGATCCACACACACTTGCTTTATGTTCTATTGCACCAGGAGAGATGGATGTGTGCTCGAGTTATTTGTCCTTTAGTTCTTTTCCAGTCTTGAGATTTAGTGATTTTATAATAAGTCTTAAATAGTGTCACTAATATATCAAAATTCCTGGAGACATACAAAGTACAACACCATATTAATTTGCCTTTATTTTAAGTATAAGGATCACTACAGGTAACTTATGGGAGCAGCTTTAAATATTCTTGGAAATGTTTATTGAATTATTTTCTACTTACAGAATAGCTAAGAATAATACTAATATACTAGTTACTTTTCTTTTGCTGAGATAAAACACCAGGACCAAAGCAATTTATCAAAGGGAGGGTCTGTTTTGGGTTTCCAGTTCCGAGGGCTAGGGTCCATGGCTCTGAGCCGAGGCTTGGCAGTGGGGTAGCTGAGGAGCAGCTGAGAGCTCACAGTTGCTCTACAGGCAGAAAGACAGTACATGGCTCTTCTGATTTATCATTACATTTTATTTAATTTTTTTTTAATTTTTTGAGATTATGATCTAATTACACTGTTTTTCTGTTTGCGTTCCTCCCTCTAAGCTCTCCTATATACCTCTCCTTGCTCTCTTTCAGATTCCTGGCCTCTTTTTGCATTAATTATTCTTACATGCACATACTAGGTGCACATGAGCTTCCTGGATTTTATTATGTCACTGTTCATGTTGTGCTTGAGGCGCTGATGTAATCTACAGGAGCAGCTTATTAAATATGACTTTCGCTGTAATGTGGACTGAAAGAAATGAGGTGTAAAGTTTGTTTGTAATGCACAGGATGTGGACACACAATTGAGTTGTTAAAGTGCTTGCCTGCCTGTAACCCCTTCACTGGTGGTGTGGTGTGGTGTGGTGTGGTGTGGTATGGTGTGGTATGGTGTGGTGGTGGCTGGGTGGTGTGTGTGTATGTAGGGGTGCATGTGTCGAGGGGTGTGGGGAGAACTCACTGGTCAGCCAGTCCAGCAGAACCACTGAAATCCAGCTTTGGTGAGAGACCCGACATCTGAGGTTGACGTTGGGCCTTCCCATGCACACATACAAACACACAGAAAAAATACTGTTGTCCTTTGACCTGTGCAAGGATTGGCCTTGCAGTGTAGGGTGTCACTAGGCGATGCCAGTGATCGGCCTATGATCCTTGATGTCCTGGGCTCCCTGTTTTCATGTTTGGAGCTATCTTTGTGTCCACGAGATGTCAGTAGAATACAGAATTTTTGAGAATTCCATTTGAGGAGCCCTCAGGCACCCATAACAAAACACTGCCGAGCGTTTGCAGGAAGCAGATGTTCTCTCAATAAAGCATGCTCTATTTGAAGAGCAAGCGATTTAATTTAATTAGGCTTCATCTCAGTAACAACAGCGCTATTATGTATGCCAACAGAGCTTCACAGTGGCGGGGTGCGCATGCAAAAGGAAAGCAGACCTGTGCTTCCGGTGAGAGGCACTATCTGGACTTCTCAGTCAGGTCCAGGGGCTCGACAGATCAGCTCAGTTCTCAAACCAGACCCCTGGGCAAGAGGTCTTTCAGTGTGACAGTACCTGCAACCCTCCAGTCAGGAGCTGCTCTCCCACCCACACATACATGTGCATGCAAACGTGCACGTGAACATACTTACTGCCTCAGCCGTTCCCCAGAGGCCCAAATGCTAACGGGACCTGAGACCTTCCACAGTCACCACAGAGCTGAATTCTATTTTGTTTCCTTTGTGGGTGAATAATGGAAGAACTAACCCACAGAAGAGGCCCAAATGCCACCAGCTGACGAACTCCAAGTGGGAAGAGGGCGCCCCCTCTGTTCCTGACGTTCAGACCCTTGGCTCGTAAGACTCAATGTTAGGCCTTTCAAGGAGGCCAGGGGAGTGTGAACCCTCCATAAAGTGACTGTGTAGCCAGTTTAAACTTCAGAGCCTGTATCTTTGAGTAGCACTTCTGGGCATTTATCCTGAGTGTTACGGAAACATCACACATACGAGAAAGTAATATATTCAAGGATGCTCATGCAGCATTGGATAGTAAAATATGCAGGACTGACTTAAATATCCAACCATAGGACATGCACTCGATTGTTATTAGCATTATTGGTTCAGTTATTAATGCAAGTCAGTGGTCATTAATTCAACTATCAGTAAATTTTGCCATGAGAAGTTGAGAAACTAAGAAGATTATGAGACAATATGTGCAACAAGATCCCATTGTTGGAGAAATGTTAATATATGTAGCATTTGGGCACGGGGAGGGCACCTAACAGCTCGTGTGTGTGTGTGTGTGTGTGTGTGTGTGTGTGTGTGTGTGTGAGTGTGCATGCTTTGGATTGTAATTGCAGTGTTTTTGTTTTCTAGTTTTTGGGACAGGGTCTCACTGTGTAGCCCCGGCTGGCCTGGAACACCACACTAGGCCTCCAGTGTTTCTCTTAATGTTGGAGTGTGGTGGGAAATGGCAGCTGCTCAGTGCTCAGAGGGGCCAGGTATCCCCACAGCCAGCCGTGCCCCGGTAGGCCAGGTTCGGCCATCTGTCCTTGATAAGCCGACTAAAACAGCTAAGTTAATAGTGAAAAGTGGAAAAAGATGATGGAATCGGGAAGCGTGTCAAAGAGTTCCAGTGGTGCGCCTCACCCCATGGTTTTCCAGGGTCCTACAGTGCGGTTACAATTTACTGCAGGGCAGAAGCAGTCCTGTGTGGCCCCGCCTACCGTTGACCCATGGTGTCTTCTGTAAGGTCACTTAATAGGTTGTACCTCTTTCTCTCCCCTCCTGGCCTAGGTTTTTTCTTTCTCCAACTTGAGACTCCTGGGCTAATTCAGTTTTTTTGGAGGAGTCTATTTGAATAGTGTGACAGCTAAAGTGAAGGCACAGGAGTCTCCTTTGAATGTTTTCATCCCTGCCAGTCCACTTACACAGCCTCTTCTCCCCAGCGTGTTTGAAGTTCCAAGGAAAATGCCTGCACCCCCTCTTGGCTGCTGGGCAAACACTCTCTCACGAGCACACATTGAGATGACAGGTCAGTATAAGCCACAACGTCCTGTGTCTGAGTCATGACCCAGATGTTTGCAGCAAATGCTCACCCGGTGTCCCTGCCACATTCCTCAGGAGTCTCTTCTGTATTCTGTTGAAGTTACGCCTTTGTGTTTCGGAGTAGGGATTGGCACATAAGATGCTGCCCGGGGCTGCTTTCTTTTCCTCACATTCTCAGTCAGCAGTGCAGACTCTTGCCTCTTGGAGTCCGTAACTCAGCAGGAGTTTCCTTTGTTTATTTTAAGAGGGACTCAAGTACAAAGGTCTGGGACTTCACTGACCTTACATTCCAAAGCCTTAGGCCTGCTGCAGCCAAGCCAGCTGCTGGCTGGCCTTGAGCACTGGACTTCTGGTGCGCGGCCTGCCGTGGGTTTGTGTTCTGTTGCCTTTGAACCTTGTAAGCTTGGTATGACAGGTCCGAAGTGGGAAAGCCTTTTCATAGGGGATTGGCCGCCATCTGCAGTATCACTTGGCCATGAGGGTGGGGACAGCATGGTCGTCAGCCTGTTCACCTTTTGGTTGGGAATCCAGACATCTGTTGTTTCAGGCAGGACTGGTGATAGTGGAGAATATATGCCTGTTAGCTTTTTGACCTGATACAGAGCTGCCATTGTGCTTGCAGCTTACCTGTCTGTAGCCTTGTCTCCCATTAGAGCATGAGGGTTCTGTGGGCAAAGTGCAAAGACATGAATCGAAAGCTTAGAGCTGGGCAGCCTGGACTCCAGACTCTGACCTGATGTCTACCAGCTGTTCAGTAGGAAAGTGACCCGAGGTCCATGTGCATCTGTGTGGGTGGACAATTTTTGATGAGAACAGGAGATAGGAACCGGTCTAGTAAAGCAGGCATCCCATAGCAACAGTTTTGAGGATGTCAGAAGGATTCTGGTCCCTTTTTCTTTGTTATCTCCTTGTCTGTTGCTGCAATGAAACACTATGACCAAGAGCAAGTTCCATCACTGAAGGAACTCAAGCAGGGCAGGAACCCGGATGCAGGAGCTAATGGAGGGAGGGGTGCTGCTCATCAGCTTGCGCCTCAGGGTTTGCTCAGCCTACTTTCTTCTAGAACTCAGGACCACTGGCCAGGGATGGCACTTTTCACAATGGCCTAGGCCCTCCCCCATCAATCATTAGTTAAGATAGTGCCCTCTAGACTTGCTTACAGCCCCACTTTATGGAGGCATTTTCTCAGTGGGCCTCCCTCCTCAGATGACCCAGCCTGTGTCAAGGTTAGGTGACAAAGATAGCCAGCACTCCTAAATGAGCACCTGAGGAGCTCCTGCACACCCAGCTGGATGGGCCACGTGGACTAACAGCTCACCCTCCCCATACCTCGCTCCATTTTCTGCCATAAGTCCGTTAAAAGACCCCAGACTAGCAGCTTGAAAGGAACCTTATATCTGGGACTCCCCCTGTTCTATGGGAGCATTCTTTTTTCCTCTTCCTTTCTCCTAACAGCCTACCTATGAATCTATAATAGATTTCTCTCTAATACCCATCCTTTGTGGTTCATGAATTTCACTGTTTTTATTTAAAGTTTTACCTATGTGTGTGTGTCTGTGTGAGTGTATGTAATGTGTGTACAGGTACGCTTGGAGGCCAGACATGCAAAAGGCAGTCTTTGTAAACTACCCAACCTGGATGCTGGGACAGTTCGTCCTCGGCTCTTCCTCCTCCTAAATTTTATTCTTTGACTTTAGAGACAGAAACCAGGAAATTATTGGTAGCTGTCTTAGTCAATGTTGTATTGGTTTGAAGAAATACCACGACCATGGCAACTCTTATTTAAAAAACAAAACAAAACACAAAAACATTTAACTGGGGCTTGCTTACAGTTTCAGGGGTTTTGTCTACTACTGTCATGGCAGGAAGCAGGCATTGTGCTGGAGAAGCAACTGAGAGTTCTGCAGCCAGAGTTCTACAGCGGGATCCTCAGGCAGCAGGAAGAGAGGCACTGAGTCTGACATGGGCTTTTGAGACCCCAATACCACCCCCATTGACACACCTCCAACAAGGCCACACCTCCTAATCCTTTCAAATAGTGCCACCTAAGCATTCAAGTGCATGAGCCTATGGAAGGTGTTGGGTCATTCAAACTGCTACAGTAGCCATTGAGTTTTCTAGATCCTAGCTCCCCAAGGAAGAAAGTTGTTCTCAAGGACGCCCCATATTTGTATATTGCTTTCTAAGTAGAAAATTCAAGCAAGGCATGGTGGTGCATGCCTGTAACTCTGATGTTTGACAGGTAGGAGGATCAAGAATTCAAAGCCAGTCTTGGCTAAAAAATAAGTTCAAGGCCATTGTGGGCTACATGAGACCTTGTCTTAAACGCAAAGTGAACAAAGCATTTAATGTCCATAAACTAAACCTAGAGAATACTGGAGGTCTGTCTAGCCCACCTTGAATGCTCAAAACACTTAGAGAATCATATAGTACAAAGCCCATTTTATATTAACATGTTGGATATTGTTAAAATTTGAGTAAGACAGATGATCCAAAAAGACACTGAGACAGGTTACTGGGACTAAGGTCTCTCAGCTTGGGTTTTATTGCTGTGAAGAGACACGATGACCATGTCAACTCTTTATTATTATTTTATTCATCCCTTTTTTGTTTTGTTTGTTTTGTTTCTTGTTGAGACAGGGTTTCTCTGTGTAGTCTTGGCTGTCCTGGACTTTGTAGACCAGGTTGGCCTCGAACCTACAGAGATCCATCTGACTCTGCCTCCCCAAATGCTGGGAGTACAGGTGTGTACCACCCTGCCTGGCTCAGGTCAACTCTTATAAGGAAAACAGGCTGACTTACAGGTTCAGAGGGTTAGTTGTCATGGCAGGAAGCATGGTGTTATGCAGGCAGGCCTTGGTGCTGGAGTAGTCGAGAGTTCTGCATCCAAAACATCAGGCAGCAGGAAGAGAGAGACACTGGGACTGGCTTCAGCATCTGAAACCTCAAAGCCCACACCCAGTGACACACTTCCTCCAACAAGGCCACACCTCCTACCAGTGCCACTCCCCATGAGCCTGTGGGGGGCCATTTTCATTCACATCACAATGTAAGGTTATTATTATACCCTTGGCAAACAGAAAGACCGAAGAGCTCTGAGGAGAGTTCAGTTCTCAGTACCAGGGATAGATGGAAGAAGAGGAGGGGGGAGGAAGAGGAGATCAGAGTTCACATGCCAGAGAAAGGAGCTTCTTAGACCTTGAGAGGATGGAGGGAAGGTGATAGATAGCAAGAGTCGGTAGCCAGGCTTTCTGAGTCCCAGGCTGGAGGCAGAAAGACCTGGACCAGGGTGTGCACAGTGTCAGTACCTTAACATCAGTGCCCTTTGATGTAAGCTCTCCTCCCAGTGTCCCAGTAGGATGCTTTTCAGTATCTGGGAGAGGGCAGAACTTTCTTATTGTTACATTGTGTAATTGACAGCAGAGTATATTGAAAGTGCCAAACAAGATGGCCAAATGGGGTGGCTTTTGCCTGTCAAAAACTGTAAAGTATTTAGTCGACGGTCTTAACCATTGTTAAGTCAGATGTCTTCATGAGGTTGTTGTGTGGCTTTTTTTTATTTTTCTTTTTATTTGTGTGTGTGTGTGTGTGTGTGTGTGTGTGTGTGTACAAGGCTGGAGGTTGACATTGGGTGTCTTCAATCACTGTCTACCTGTTTTTCAGTTTGTTTGTTTTTGTTTTTTGAGCTAAGTCTCTGAAAATCTGGGCCTGGAGTTCCCAGCCAGACTGGCTGACTATCAAGCCCCAGAGGTCGTCCTGTCACCCCAGCTCTGGGATTACAGGTGTTCACCGCCACACCCAGATTTTATTGGGGATCTTACTCAGACCCTCATGTTTGCATATTGAGTTCTTTGCTAATGGAGACAAACCCTGGCTTCTATAGTGTAGATCTTGAAAACTGCAGCGTGGGGCTGGGAAGGCTCAGAGAGTAGGCACACAAGCTGCTGGTCCAGGACCTGGGTTGGATTCCCAACATCCACGTGTCCACTCACAACTGTGTGTAACTCCAATCTTGGCGGGTCGGATACCCTCTTCTGACCTCTGTGAGTACTACACACACAATATGCAGATGTACAAAAGTCCATCCATACAGAATAAGGTGAAAAAAAAAAATGTAGCACGGAGAACATGGAACACGGTGCCCGGCTGGCTGTTAGTGCTCGCTACATGCTGTGATGCTGTCATTCACAGTGAGCCCTAGAACCTTTCGAGTTGCTGTGAGCGTTTGCTGAAGTCACTGATGTGGTCAGTAAGATCTGGAGGCCGTCCTGGTGCCTGGGAACATTGCTGTGCTAGGCCCGAGTCTGATCTTGGCTAGGCTGCCTGTCCTGGACAGTCAAAGGGAGGACTGTTTGTGAGTTTGCCATTGCACCAGGGTAGTCATTGACTGCTTTGGGATTATTACATTGTCTACTGCTCAGATGGCTTTACTTATTTTTATTCATTGTGAGGTTGACTCTGGGAACCTCAAGTAGTAGGGAGATTTCCCTTAACTCCACTAAGAGGAAATAAGTGGCAGCCTCCATGAAACATGCCCTGTGCCCAGTTCTCTCTCTCTCTTGTTTGTTTGCTCATGGTTTGTTTGTTTGTTTGTTTTGAGATAGGATTTCACAGCGTAGCTCTGGCTGTCCTGGAACTCTTTGTAGACCAGGCTGGTCTTGCATTCACAAAGATCTGCCTGCCTCTGCCTCCCAAGTACTGGCATTAAAGGAGTGTGCCACCACCCTTAGCTTATTTATTTATTTTTGAGGAGAACAAGATTCTAGACTGTAATGAAAAATCAAATCCTAATATGACCATCCTGAGCCAAAGAAGCGTGCCCTTTAAAGCCCTCAGGTTTCTCTAGAACTTCAGGTTAATGTTTGATGCCTCCAGAATATGACCACCCTGTTGAAACTGAGATTTATTATTTAAAAACCATTTTTTTCAAAGTTGTGATTCCATGAAGCTGTTTGAAACATCTTAGGTAAACAATCTTTTAAAAATAATCATCAGTATACTTGAAAATTAATGGTGTAACACCATTGAAGAAAATCAGCTGTGTCCTCTCCCCAAGCATGAAGCAAGGCCTATCCATGTTCATTTTTGGGAGTGTTCCTGAATACTAACACGACAGAGCTGTATGTCACACGCCTTCATTTGCTTATGCTCTCAGTGAGTGAGGAGCACATCTCACTCGTCCCCTCCCCCACAGTATGTAGACAGCTGGGTGGAAGGAGCTGGTGCCTCTAGGGGATCCTTTCCAGCTAGGTCTCTTCAAACATGAAGTAGCAAAAGCATTATAATTTCTCCTCCTCTTTTCAGATCCAATGTTTTGACATGGCTTCCTGCTTCATTGCTGTTTGTGGGTATAATCTATGCAGGGTCCAGAGCATTGTCTAGACTGGTGAGTATTAGAATTTGTGTGGGGGGGGGGCAGGGACACACAAGCCTTCTGTCCTTGTCCCCTTTGTGTATAATTTATTGCACTTGGCATCAGTTGGGGGTAGGCATCAGCCCGAAGGTCTGATTAGATCGGATAACAGAGGTGTCGGTTAGCTTACTGTAGCTGTGATAGAAACACCCAAGGAACGTCTTCAGGGAATACATTTTGGCTCATGGTTTCAGAAGGTTCCACACTGAGTCCTTTGCCTCTCAGGTTCTGGGCCTGTGGTAAGGTTGGACATAGTGACAGTAGACGGTGTGTCTAAGGCTGAGCATCCTGTTGGTGGAGGATGTGGAAAAGCTGTTTACCCCTTGGCAGACGGGAAACAGAGTAGGACAGAAGACGGAGGACCAGGAGTAGCTTTCAAAGGCACAGCCCCAGTAACCTACTTCTTCCAGCTAGAGGTCTTGCTGCCTGGAGTTTCCAGGCATTCCCAAATTAATACCTCAACCTGAGGACCAAGCCTGCAATATGTGTGCCCTGCTGGAGGCCTACTTCATATCCAAACCATATCAGGCCCAGAAGTCCTGGGCCTGAGCCGACATGCAGCTTTTCTCTGCTTTTGCTGACTTGAAGGTAACTAGAAAATAGGGCAGTGCCAGCTTGTTTCACAAGATGGAGGTGGGCAGAGAGAGAGAAGCAGCAGCAACTGTAAAGTCCGCTGCAGTCAGGCAGGAAGAAGAGAGTCAGGACTAACCTTTACCTGCTGCTGAGGAGAAACTGGATTTACTAGCGAAATGAGCCAGGGGATGTTGGATAAAGTTGGGAACACAAGTGTGGCACAGAGGGAACCAGTACCTGGGAACCAGTAAAATGAATTGCCTATTGTGTCTTCCCACCCCTCATCTCTCCCCCTCAGGACTGTGGTTTTTGAAGCATAGAGGTGTTTCCAAATACATTATTCAGAAATGCAAATGTAATTATTTTGCCACCAAGAGAATCCATTAAAACCACCATGGACTTAGAGATCAAGATGGTTTTAATGCCTCCTCTTACCTTTTCCTGACTTCTATTTTATTTGTAAAAAAATGCCATATGTTCTGACTTTTGGAAAGATGCAGAATTTGCAAAATAATTTACTTTTTATAGCATTTGCTGTTATGTTAGGTCCTGAGACCACAGATATAAAAACAAAACCTCTCTAACTGGATAACAATGTCATGGTTAGGACAATGTCAGGGTTATAAAGTAGCAGTTGAGAGGTAATTTTGAAATTGAGTCATCATTTTTCTTTCATGATTTATACGCTTAGCAAATGGAATGATTTGTTCAGAAGGGTGGACACTCCCTGGGCGGCCGCAGCTGACCACAGTGCATGGCAGTGCCCAACGCAGAGGATTCAGGCAGTTCCTACTCTTTCTGCCGCTTGTTTCTAGTTCCGTTACGTTTAATTTTCCCTCCGAGTTCTGTGTAGGTGTGGGTGCGCCAGAGGTTTAAAGACTAATAAGTCAGGTGTTGAGCTTATGGTAATAATGCTTTTTTTGTCCAGTGATTCCCCCGCCCCCAGGTTTTCAGAGTGGTTTTCTTTATATCTTTTATTTTTTTTATTTTGTGTGTACATATATGTTTGTAGGTGTGCCCACTTATGTGCATATATGGATTTTAGAGGTCAACATTGGGAATCATGTTCTATCATGTTCCACTGTGAAAACACACACACACACACACACACACACACACACACACACACACACACA